TCCGTATTTAACTTACTATTTGCCGATGGTGATTTCCCACAGTAGTTTTATTTAATCGAAGACTCTGAAATGTTCTAGAAATCTAATCTTAGCCCTTTCTCTTGATTTTAATTTTGAGTGACGATAAGCGTCACATCTTCCTCAAAAGCCGAGAAAAAAAAAAGAGAAAAAAAAAATAATTCTTGCTTAACCAGTTAAACTCAGAAGGAAAGTCTCTCTCTTATTTAACACATAACATAGTTTTCATTGTTTTTAAAACTTTAAGTAAACAATCATCATAAACACGATTAAAGTGAAGTACAAAGCAATATAAATAATATGCATAATATAACATATACACCTGAAGATAATACACCTGATAACATATACACCTGAAGATAACATATACACCTGAAGATATAAATATAACATATACATAACAATAGAATACACCTGAAGATCTTGCATTCATAGGAATAAAATATTATTTAAACGAAAGATTTTCCCAAATTTGACAGAAGAATCCTAACATTGTAGAATAAAAAGTACATAAAAAGACGTACATTGTGCAAAATAAATTGGTAATTTATAATTAGTATTTCATTNAGTTGTGATACTAGGGAACCCGTGTTCATAGAAAATAAGTGCAAGTCTCTGGCCAGTGAAAGGGCTTTTTCCTTTGAGCCGGTTATCAGGGTAAGGCCACCTGGTTTCGTTGTACATATCAATGTAGTCTCGAAGAAATCACACTTAGTGATGTCGGGATCAAATATGAAACTTTAGGTGAAGCTTTCATTGTCCTAAATCTGACCCATTAAACCAGCCATAGGAACATGTTGAGGGCTAGCTGGCATCAGATAAGCCTCTGATGGATTTCCAACGAGGGAGTCAGAAATATGAAGTTGTGGTTGATTTAGCCAACCTTGAAAGCTATAAGTTCGGTAGGTAATACAACGTTGAGATCCTCTTGATACTGTTAGGTTGTGCTGTACAAAGGCAGCACTTTCAAATTCCAGAAGTTGTCTTGATCTTCTCCCTGCGTGAGGTTTCCGATATAAACACATATCGAAAGAAACTATGGTAGCATTGGAAACCCAACGATTTGGCTTCAAAATGAAGTAGTTCGTATTTAACTTTCTTTATATCACATTTGCAAGAAACTTTATTGTTGCAAGGATATACGGAACAAAAGTCAGCTGTTCCCGTACAATTTTTAAAGAAGTCACAAAGGAAGTCCATAACGTCAGTTTCTGAACAATAGAAAGAGGTCATATTACCTCGATTGGTTGTAGGTCTGCCTATGAATTGAGTTGGAGATCTAAATGTTTCATCCTGTTGAAGTAGTAAGGACCTTGATGACACTACACAATTTTGGCAGGATGTTCTTAAGCAAGCGTCGGATGGCAAATCCAAGTTCTCGATTTCTCCTGAATTCATCGTAGTGCATTTTTGTTTTGCTTCATTTAGCCTGCACACCTGAACATCGTGTGCACTTACCAAAGTAAATGAGAAATAGATCAGTAGAATGGCTGAAATAAACAAGGAAAGTTCTCTCCATCTATTCAATAAACTATTATAAAGTTCTAGTACTTAAGAGTTTTTTTTTCCTCTTCCACTCATTCAATACTAATCAAGTATTTAAAAATTTTGTTTCAAGAAATGACAAAAGATCATTAAACTTATTTGAGTATGAATGAACTCATTTAATTTTACACATGAACTATTCCTTATTTGCTCTAAATATAAATATTTCATTTCGATTATTCTTAGTATACACGATTTAGTATAGATACTCATTATCATTTGATCCAGTTGATTTCAGTATTTGTGCTCATTTTAATTAATTGTATACCATCAAGAATGGTATTTGTGTGATAATGACTTTTTTGGACGGTATATTGTATATGGAATATAATCATCCCCATCATCTTCCATATCATAAGGAAATGAAGCATCCTTACACTTTTCGTCATTTATTTTTAATACATGTGTCTGAGAAGAAATAGTGGCGTTCGGTACATTCGTAGTGGTCATTTGAGGAATTTCTAAATCTGGTCTGCGTTGTGTACATGAAAAAATTCTATCAGTGTGTACCTTAGTTGGTTTCTTATATGGTTTGTTTACATCTTGAATTGTATAATTTAGATCAGAATGTTTTTCAATAATTCTGTAAGGTCCTGAAAATTTTTTAGCAAATGCTCTACCTGTTAATTGATTCGATGTTGGTGTATATAAATATACTTTTTGACCTAAATGATAAGTTTTAAGGTGAGCGTGTCTGTCTCGAATGCGTTTTTGTTTTTCAGCAGCTCTCTCTAAATTTTGATACACTTGACGATACACCAGTTGCATCTTTCTCATGTTTTCTTCAAGAAGGTTGTCGCATGGAAAATAATGAATTTTAGGTTCTTGGTCTAATATACGAAAAGGTAAATTCAGATCGCGATTAAACATAAGATAAGATGGCTTTTCTAGAGTTGTGTCATGGTAAGAGTTGTTATAAATAAAGTTGTAGTACTGGAGATATGTATCCCAATTTGATGCTTTGTCTGCTAAACAAGTGAGGCTATTTTTAATGCTTTTATTAATTCTTTCTGAGACTCCATTTGTTTGAGCGTGGAATGGTGTCGTCTTTAATTTATTAATTTGCAATTTCTTTGCTAAAATGCTAAATAATTGACTTTGAAAATTTGTTCCTAAATCAGTGAGAATCGCATTAGGCACCCCGTACGTAAGTATAACCTCAATTAATCTATTAGTTTAAGTCCCAGCGGTCATATCTTTTAAAGCAAATAATACACTAAATTTTGTGAAATGGTCAATAACCGTCAAAACGTATTTATTTCCCTGTTCCGATAGAGGTAGTGGTCCTAAAATATCTAAACTAATCAATTCCATAGGATAAGATGGAGTTTCAAAGTTCTGCAACGGAGATTTAGTCAAAGGAAAACCTTTTTTCTCTATACATAATTTTCATGAATTTGAAAAATTCTTTATGTCAATGTACATATTGGGCCAAAAATATTTTTCCTTAATTGCGCGGTAGTTTTTAAAGAATGTGAAGTGGACCGTTTCGGATCCTTCTAAAATATAAGGTATTAAATCTTTAGGAATAACTATTTGTTCAAAACACTCATCACGAGCGGCGCGTTTATTTCTATGAGAGAAATGCTTTAATAACCCATTATCTAGAAAATAATTTTCAGTGTTTATTTTTAAAGTGGTGTTTCTACCTTCCAAAATATTTATGATTTCGCTTAACTTAGGATCATTTCTTTGTGAGTTTTTAATAGTTTCAATGTCCGGTATATCTGCTTTGACAACATTAATATTTTCGTTAATATCACGTGATAAAAGATCTCCTAAAAAGTTTTCAGATCCTTTAATATGCTGAAAATAAAAGTCGTAGTTTGACAGTTCCAATAACCATCTTGATAAACGGCTAGCTGGAGAATCTAATTTTATTATATAATTTAAAGATTTGCAATCTGATAGAATTTGAAATTTACGACCATATAAATAAACTTTATAATGACGAACAGCCAAAAGAATAGCATACGCTTCTAATTGAATGGNGTGAAATGGTCAATAACCGTCAAAACGTATTTATTTCCTTGTTCCGATAGAGGTAGTGGTCCTAAAATATCTAAACTAATCAATTCCATAGGATAAGTTTCAAAGTTTTGCAACGGAGATTTAGTCAAAGGGAAACCTTTTTTCTCTATACATAATTTACATGAATTTGAAAAATTCTTAATGTCAATGTACATATTGGGCCAAAAATACTTTTCCTTAATTGCACGGTAGTTTTTAAAGAATGCGAAGTGGACCGAAAGTGGACCGTTCAAAACACTCATCACGAGCGGCGCGTTTATTTCTATGAGAAAAACGCTTTAATAACCCATTATCTAGAAAATAATTTTCAGTGCTTATTTTTAAAGTTGTGTTTCTACCTTCCAAAATATTTATGATTTCGCTTAACTTAGGATCATTTCTTTGTGAGTTTTTAATGGTTTCAATGTCCGGTATATCTGCTTTGACAACATTAATATTTTCGTTATTATCACGTGATAAAAGGTCTCCTAAAAAGTTTTCAGATCTCTTAATGTGTTGAAAATAAAAATCGTAGTTTGATAATTCCAATAACCATCTTGATAAACGGCTAGCTGGAGAATCTAATTTTATTATATAATTTAAAGATTTACAATCTGATAGAATTTGAAATTTAAGACCATATAAATAAACTTTATAATGACGAACCGCCAAAAGAATAGCATACGCTTCTAATTGAATGGCAGGCCATTACTTTTCATGTGGTTTCAATTTGTGGGAGAAATAACTTATTGGTCTGAGAATACCATTCGAATCTTTTTGTAATAGAGCAGCTCCAACCGCAATTTTTGACGCTTCAGTTTGTAAATAAAATAATTCTTCAAAATTTGGATGCTTTAAAAGAATATCAGATAGTAATTTAGACTTTATCAACTCAAACGAATTCTGAGCTACCTGGTTCCATTTAAATTTACTTTTAGTTTTAGTTAAACCTGTCAAAGTTGTAACAATTTTAGAAAAATTAGGTACAAAGTCGCGATAATAATTCGCGCATCCTAAAAATCTTCTTAATTTTCGCACTGTGTTAGGAACTGGAAAATTTTGAATGGACTTTAAATTATGAGGCAATGGTTTAATTCCCTCTTTATTAACTTCGTGTCCAAGGTAACTTATGCTAGTTTGAAGAAATTTACATTTTTGTGGGTTCAATGTCAACCCATATNGTCGCGATAATAATTCGCGCATCCTAAAAATCTTCTTAATTTACGCACTGTGTTAGGAACTGGAAAATTTTGAATGGACTTTAAATTATGAGGCAATGGTTTAATTCCCTCTTTATTAACTTCGTGTCCAAGGTAACTTATGCTAGTTTGAAGAAATTTACATTTTTGTGGGTTCAATGTCAACCCATATTTTCGAAAACGTTCGAAAACTAGCCTTAATTTTCTTAACGAATCGTCTATAGTTTGAGACGGTATTATTACATCATCGATGTAAGCTGCGATGTTCTCAGACTGCAAGCCGTTTAATATTGTATCCGCTATTACCTGAAAAATTTGTGGTGAGTTCTTTAAACCAAAACTTAAAAATTTGTATTGATAATTTCCGTAAGGACTGGTAAAAGCAGTTAAAGCCTTATCGTTTTCACAAAGTTTTATTTGATGAAATGAAGCATTAGCGTCCAAAGTACTAAAATAATTTGCTCCTCGTAACGAATTTAAAATGTCTGAAATAAGGGGTAATTTATAAGTAGAAGAAACAGTTATCTCGTTGAGTTTACGATAATCTACGACCAAACGATATTCACCAGCTGTTTTCTTTTTAACCAAAATGAGCGGAAATGAATACCGACTTTTTGATTTTTCTATAATTCCGGTATCTTCTAAATCAGATATTTGTTTATGAACATTTTCACGTAATGCAATTGGTACTGGAAATGGTCAACACTGAATGGGTGTGGAATTGGTGATTTCTATTGGAGGGGCTTCGAGAGTGCATTTACCGATTGTTTTCAATGTTATGCTAAAAATATCAGAAAATTCAAAAATTAAATTTTTTAATTTTTGTTTTGCGTATAAAGGAACACCTGACCAATCAAAATGCTCTTCCTTAAGTTCTTGTCTCCGTAATTCACGTAAATTTTGATTTGATTTAATATCTATATTTGGCTCAATATGAGCTATTCTACTATGTTTATTTAAATGTAATTTGTTACTTGAAAGATTATTGACAACCAAGGATATAGTTTTGTTTTTGTTCACGGTACAAATAGAACGATGAATTTCAATATTGTGTTGGGAATTAGTGGGTTGTACTAAAACATTAGTTCCTGCAGGAATAGAATTACTAATTTTTACTTCAACTATTGAAGAACTTTGTGCTGGAATTTTGATTTTCCGAGAGAGTTACCGCAGTGATTTACAGTTATATTATTAGTTACTTCATTTTGATAGTTTACAATTAAGGTTTTGCCTCCTGAAAAAGATACCGACTGATCTTTAAAATTTATGGTGCAATTAAACGATTTCAAAAAATCAAAATCTAATATGAAGTCGTAATCTCGACTAAGACTGCCCTAAGTTATCAAGACTTTGTGTCTTCAAGGTTTGTTTTCTATTGAGAATGATAACAATGTCGTTGAACTTATTTTTATCTCCTCGGCAGATAGCGTAGAGATTTTCATGAATGGGTCAGACTGAGCTGTTTCGACATGTTTAGATGAAATATGTTGCGATGCTTGATGGCTCATTAATGAAATGCTAGCTCCGCTATTTAATAATGCCTGAAAAGTTTTATTTCCTATTGTAATTGATATGATTGGTTACGAATTTTGAGAACTAGTGTTAAAATGTGTGACCCCTGTTACTGTTTGCACCCTATCCGCTTGATTAGGGAACTCGCGGGTTTTTAACGATTCCCTTATCAGTTTAAAGGTCCTCTACCCTTTGAAGTTGACATTTGCTGATCATAGTTTCGATTTCGACCCCTGATAGCATATGATGGAAATTCGTTTGGTTGACGTGTATTTTCGCGTACATTATGTCGAGTGTCAAATGAATCACGCCTGTTTACAAACGATCGATTGGCATTACGAGTATTTTGATGAAATGATGAATGCTCATAGGGTTTTTGTTTTCGAATCGTCTTAATGTAAAATATTGTGAGGAGAAATGATTTGTTTTTCCACAATGAATACAAGGTTTGCGACGAACAACATTATGATTTCTAAATTTATTATTATTTTTCCTTTCTGGGGGGATTTGAGTTGAAAGTTTATTTATCTGGCTACTTAATGCACTTATCATTTCATTGGATATTTGCATATGTTTATCTAGAACTTGCGATATTTTAAGATCTAATGTATTTTCTTGGTAATTTGGTTTTATTTCCATAGCATAATTATGAACACATTCAGTATTAGTAAATTGCGAATTTATTTCATCTAAAAGGACGTTTTCAACAGCCGCTTCGAAAGTAGTAGGATTTCTTGTTAAAGCTAAACGCTTTAGAGCTGGTTCTAAGCCTTCCAAGAACTTAGCAAGTTTTGTCTGGTCAACTATAGGTTCAGCACCTGCTTTTGACGCATTTTGTAAACCAAAATAGTTGATGGTTAAATTTGAAACTCTGGTTGAAAAACTTCGAACTGATTTACCAGGGTTCTGCTTACAGTTGGAAAATTGTTGCTGTCTATGACTTAACGTAGTTTTAGTTTCAAAATAATTCTTAAATTTTTTTGCTATCGATTCAAATTTTTTTTCGTTTGTAAGTTCCGGATCTTCGATAAAGAATTGAAGTGCGGGCCCTTTGAGTTTAGACTTTAATACCGCAATTAGGTCTGCGTCATTCTAATCAGCAATTTCACCGATTTCTTTTAGATTGTTAAAAAAGTAATTAACATTTGAAAAAATTTCCCCATCAAAAATATTAACCAAGTTTCGATACCCCGCAATTTTATTTGGATTCGGATCCATTTTTTCTCGAGCAGTTATTCGTCGTACGAACTAATTATGATTTTACAACATAGAATAATAAAATAGAACCTCAATTAAAATATGCAAACTATATTGCATTCCAAACAGTAATGATAACAAAATATTGTATATGTAATGAATAAAGCATAGTACCATAGAAGAAAACAATCAAAATATACAAAATATATTAACCAAATGGATCAGATGACAAAAAGTAATAAATTGTTTTAAATTAATTAGTTTTAAAAGCATGGCATACTATACAATTAAGTTACAACGCTGATAGAATTTTTTTCCATTTAAAAATCCGCATTTATTAAGGCACCACTTGTGGCGTTTTTGAATAATTAAATAAAGAATAAATGGAAGTCTTGCTTTTAACAAGTAACATTTTATTATTTAAACAATTTAAGAAAAAACATAACTATATTGAACCGATTTAGCAATTTACAGGACTATTTTAGAATTAGAATATACAATTAATTCAACTTATCAGTATCAACATAATTAATTCAATTTATCATTAATTCAACTTATCATTATTAATTCTTACGTGTTTTTAGAATAGATGGAGAGAGACTTACCAAGTTTAGTCATGGTTTCGGTTTCAGCCTTTTGTCACTTTGGCTGATTGCTTCTGATTGCTTTTCGAACCCTTTCCTTTGGCTGCTTTTATATCGTATTTTTTGGGTGATAAAAAGTTACAAATCTAAGGAAAGGTCAAGTCCAAAAGTTATTGTTGTTTTCGAGTTTGTCCCGTGATGGGGTCAATCCCATGATGGGGGTGACATTGTAAGATTTAAACCTAATCGTTTATTTGAATTACTTTATCCGTATTTAACTTACTATTTGCCGATGGAGATTTCCCACGGTAGTTTTATCTAATCGAAGACTCTGAAATGTTCTAGAAATCTAATTTTAGCCCTTTCTCTTGATTTTAATTTTGAGTAACGATAAGCATCACATTATGTTCTAATTGTTTAAAAGATAATAGAAGTCATCCACTCTCTAAATGTAGAGCTAGCATGTGTAAAAATTGTTCGAAACCACATAATACAATATTATGTTCAAAAAATACGAGCGAAAACAAATCAGACTCGCAAACTGAGGGCAATGAACTCTCTATTACTAGCAATAGTGCAATTGCATCTCATGGCGTATTATTGCCTACTGCGATTGTTCACGTTAAAGACATTAATGGTGCGCTAAATAAATGCAGAGTTTTAATTGATTCAGCTAGTCAAGGCACATTTATTAGAGAAAATTGCGTAAATTTATTACAATTAAAGCGTTCTAAAACAAATGTTAACGTAGATGGTTTGAGTTCCCAAAAAATAGGTAAGGTTGAAGGTTCCGTTCAGTTAGAAATTTCATCACAATTTTATAAAAACGCGTGTATTTCTGTTGATGAAGAATCATTCCTAAAATTACTTGTGACCTTTCTCAATTTCGAGTGGATGCGACAGCTTTAACTACTTTTAAACATCTCCCACTAGCAGATAAAAATTGCATTCAACCAGGTCCAATAGACATCCTCTTGGGAGCAGATGTATTTGGAGAAATCATGCTAAATGGACATTTTTCGGTTCCTGAACATTCTTTAACAGCTCTAGAATCTATTTTTGGGTGGATTATCCTAGGCAAAACAAGGACTATAACTAATACAATTGTATCAAACCACGCTAGTTTCATCTCAGTCGAGTATCAATTAGATAAATTTTGGAAATTAGAAGAAATTTCTGAAACTAAAACTCATACTCTTGAAGAAATATCATGCGAGCATTTCTTTCAAAATACATTTTCTCGAGATTCTACTGGGAGATTCATAGTCAAATTTCCGTTTCGTGACTCCAGTGATGAACTTGGCTCATCCAGAGACATTGCAGTGCACCGTTTGCAGCAAATAGAACGCAGATTTACAAAAAATCAGTCTCTTTCACAACAGTACCACAAATTCATGGATGATTATCTAAAACTCGATCACATGGAACTGATTCCAGAAAACGAAATAGATGTTCCAGCTAAATCTAATTTTTATTTACTCATCACCCAGTGCCTAACAAAAGTGGCAACAAATTCCGTGTGGTGTTTGACGGTTCAGTCAAATCATCTAGTGGTATATTACTCAATGATAAGTTGATGGTAGGTCCTCAACTGCAGTTAGATATTACCTTGTTGCTTCTCAAATTTAGAATGCACAAAGTAGCAGTTACAGCCGACATAGAAAAGATGTACAAGCAAATCATCATGCAAGATTCAGACTTTCAAAGAATAGTTTGGCGCAACTCGCCTTATGAAGCTGTTCAAGATTTCAGAATAACAAGAATTGCGTATGGCACTGCATCAGCTCCGTACCTTTCAGTGAGATGTTAGCAGAGGAAGAAGCAGACAAATATCCAATAGCTTCAAAAGCAGCTCTCGAAGACTTCTACGTTAATGATTTGATGTCAGGAGCCAGTTCAACCTCAAAGGCAATCGAACTTTATAAGCAATTGACCGAAATGCTGTCAAATGCTAAACTCAACTTAAGAAAGTGGGCTTCTAACTCTGCAGAATTCATGAACGAAATTGATCCGGATTTGCGTTCATCAAAGACGTCCCTGAGCATAGACAATGATGACAACATCATAAAAACTTTATGTATCCTGTGGCATCCCGCAGCAGATGTATTCCTTTTCAAAGTTGATCAATCATCTCTTGAACTTCCAGTAACAAAGAGACATTTACTTTCCTCGATAGCAAAGACATTTGATCCTCTTGGATGGCTATCTCCAATCACAATTCAATTCAAGCTAATCATGCAAATACTATGGAAACGCCAATTGCAGTGAGATGATAGTGTTCCACCAGACATTGCAGATAAATGGAAACAACTTATGAAAGATCTTATGTTTGTTCAGAACATCAAAATTCCTCGATTTTTACTTCTCGAATCAGATGATCAATTTGAACTGTACGGCTTCAGTGATGCTTCAGAAAAGGCATATGCTGCAGCTATCTACTGTCGCTCCAAATCATATAATGGTGACATCAAGGTTCAACTAGTGATAGCTAAAACTAAGGTTGCTCCTCTTAAAACCATATCCCTTCCTAGACTTGAACTATGTGGAGCACTTCGCTTGACAAAACTTATGAGCCTAACTTGCAATGCACTGAAATATACCATATCTAATTCTCAATTTTTTAAAGACTCCACGATTGTGCTTTATTGGATAGATTCCCCAGCGAATAGGTGGAAAGTGTTTGTTGCTAATAGAGTAGCAACAATCCAAACTCTGTCTTCTCCTTCTCAGTGGCATCACATCAAGGGAGATTTAAACCCAGCCGATTTGGCTACACGTGGAGTATCGTCACCAGAATTAATAACGTCCCTTTGGCTATGTGGTCCAAACTTTTTACATAACTCATTTTCTTTTCAGGAAGAACAACGTTCCGCTGATCATGTGCCTGAAGAAAGGTATTGCATGCAAACAACTACAACAGATAAACATTCGTCGATTTCTGATGATATATTTGATAGATATTCATCTCTTTCTAAACTTAAACGAATCACAGCTTTATGTTTAAGATTTATTCACAACTGTAGAAATTCTGACAACAAAATAACTGGGTTTTTTAAAAACTAAGGAATTAACTAATTCTATAAATGTTTTAATCAAATTAGTGCAGTGTAATGAGTTTAATAGTGAGATCAATGCATTAAAAAGAAAGCAACTTTTATCTTGTAATAGCAAAATTTTATCTTTAAATCCGTTTATTGATGATTCAGGAATTCTCAGGGGTGGCGGTCGCTTGCGACATTCAAATCTCGCATACGGCCACAAACATCCTATTTTATTGCCAAAACGGCACATTCTAACTGATCTCATTGTTAGACATTTTCATGAAACTCTCTTGCATGCCGGTCCACAACTTGTGCAATCTTCTATTCAAGAAAAGTATTGGATTGTAGGTGCTAGAGATGTAATAAGACATATAATTAGAAAATGTGTAAAATGTAGTAAATTAAGAGCTTCTATAACCAATCAAATCATGAGCGATTTGCCATCTTCTCGAATTACCCCTGCATCAGCATTTTTGCGATGTGAAGTAGATTACGCAGGCCCTTTCCAAATTAAATCTATTAAAGGAAGAGGTTCTAAATCATTTAAAGCATATGTAGCTCTCTTTGTTTGTTTCACTACAAGAGCTATACACCTAGAATTGGTGACTGATTTATCTGCAGATGCTTTCATCGCATCTCTTAAAAGATTCATTTCCCGTAGGGGTAAATGTAATGACATATATAGTGATTGTGGCACCAACTTTGTTGGAGCTAAACGCCAATTAATGGAATTTGAAAAGCTTGCTAAATCAAAAAACTATAATCAAAATGTTCATAATTATTTATCTGATATTGGTATTAAATGGCATCTAAATGTTCCAGGTGCGCCACATATGGGTGGCCTCTGGGAAGCAGGAATAAAATCTGCTTATCCGTCTGCTTAACCGTTAACTGCTTTATCTAATGACCCAAATGATTTATCAGCCTTAACTCCAGGTCATTTCATTATTGGTAGAGCATTAACTAACATTTCTGAACCAAGTTGCATTGATACAAATATTTCGTATCTAACTAGATGGCAACAAATACCACAATTAGTTCAGCAATTTTGGAAACGTTGGCACAGAGAGTATCTCTGTCGTTTACAACAAAGGCCGAAATGGCTCTTGCCAACAAAGAACTTTAAAATTAATGATCTATGCCTCATTAAGGAGGATAACCTGCCCCCAACTAAATGGAAAATGGGTACAATCATACAATTGCACCCTGGTCTTGATAACATAGTCAGGTTAGTAACTCTAAAAACCTCTGATGGGACTTATAAACGTAATGTCACAAAATTATGTTTATTGCCAATATAAATGTTTTTTTTTTGTTTGGTGAAACGTGTTATTGTGTATAAAGTTATTTGTATTCTTAAAAGGCTTATTTTTTTATATATATATTCAAATTTTGTTAATTGTTTATTCAAGCATTGTTGAAATACTATTTCAAGGTGGGCGGCATGTTCCGTCACTAATATTTCTCAATTCAAATTAGCGCCAATAGATGGCGCAGAAACTCGTATTTTACCATTGTGTGTAGTCTATACCTTTACCTTTTCTCAATAAAAATTCATAAAGACAACATGTCATGTTTTTGCTGCTGTACTTTGAATCCTACCAATGGTCATACTGGTTCTGGTATCACTTTTACTGGTTTTTGATACTGGTTTTAAGATTTTTTTTCAATAGGGAATCTTAAAATACTAAAAATTACTTCAATAGCACATTTGAGTTTATTTTATATGTGCAGTTTTCTTTTAACATAGTTGTGTCTGTAACGTAGCTGGTCATGAATAAATTACAAGTGGTTAAAAAGAAAAGACTACGAACAAGATTTGAACTACCAGTAGATTGAAACTAACACACCTTTCATTTAAATTCTAAAAGAATCATTGGACATGTGATGGTGTATAAAATTCATATTACTTATACACAAAATATGGTAAAATGTCAGAAAAGTTTAGACGTTCCAAGCTGTGAATTTTTAAGTTTTGTCCTTTCATTTCAATGATATTTTACAGATGCGAGCAGAAATTTTTTTTCTATTAAATAGTTTTTTATTGTGTTTTACTTAAAATGTTTAATGTCACTCTAGTTCTAAAATCAAATTGTTAAATGTTTAGTTAAACACGCTTCAAGTAACCATAAGTTCGTAGTTGCTTACACAACCTAAAAACTTTTAGATGCCTTCGAAAATTACATTAAGTGCATTATCTAATTTTGGCATCTTTACCAGCTGTGGTAGTTGTATACTGTTATCCAGAAACCTGCAAAGATTTTTTTTCTTTAACAAAAGGATAAATAGCGAAGGAAAGATGTGTAAGTAGTATAAATCTTCCCAAGTAAAATTGATCACTTTCGCACCAAGTATTTTTGTTTTATCTTTTTTTTTGCTTTGGTTTTTTTTCTTGGGTTTAAAGATTGTATTTTAGCAAACAAGGATTGAATAGCTTCGTGTTCCTAAATCATGATGATAACTCAAGATTTTTTTTTAAACTGTTCGTCATTAGAGATTGTTTTCAAATTTCTGTAGTGAAGTTAGATCGTTGTTTCCGAAATCTACTTTGTTATTTAATTTAATAATTTTTTTAAAAAATCATTTAATATAACTGGTTAATACTAAACTTAGCAAAGCATCGTGTGAATATATAAAATTTTTTATAGGATCAATTAGAAAAACAAAATCTCTCTATAACTCTTTATTTTCTTTACATTCTTCCTCGCAGTTATCCTAACTTTTGTTGTCTGTTTTAGAAATTATTGAAAATAATAAAATCTAAATTTGTGTAACACAGAAAAATGTGTTTATTTTTCTTAAGTTTACATTTTTAATTAACATGGACTATGTCAATATGAAATAAAGCTTTAAAATTCCTAAAAAAATAGTTTTCATACGTTTATTGAGAAAGAAAATTATAAACTTAAATAAGTGAGTTAATCATTGAAATTATTAATTAATTATATTGTGAGTTATTAATTCATTTTTCCTTAAACTACACCTAAGATTTAATTAAGGTTTGCTTTTGTTTATTCACAGTTTGCTTCGTAATCACTCTCCTTAATATATAGAAATTCCGAATCTCTCAAAAAAAAAAGACGCAAAAAATTTTCACCATGTGATTTACGTGAAAAAAAAATAACGTTTCCAAAATCAAGAAAACTACTTTTGCAGAACTCAGTATTAGGAACATTAAACCCTGCTTAATTGTCCAACAAAACTTAAAGGTATTTCTAATGTGGCGTTTTTGCATACTTGTGGCGTTTTTGAATAATTTTTAAATAAAGGATAAATAGAAGTCTTACTTTTAACTAGTAACATTTTATTATTTAAACAATTTAAGAAATAACATTAATATAAGGATATACAATTAATTCAACTTATTTATACATTAATTCTTACGTGCTTTTAGAATAGATGGAGAGAGACTTACCAAGTTTAGTCATGGTTCGGCCTTTTGTCACTTAGGCTGATTACTTTTGATTGCCTTTTTAACCCTTTCCTTCGGCTGCTTTTATATCGTATTTTTTTGGTGATAAAAGTTACAAATCTGAGGAAAGGTCAAGTTCAAAAGTCATTGTTGTTTTCGAGTTTGTCCCGTGATGGGTCAATCACATGATGGGGGTGACATTGTAAGATTTAAACCTAATCGTTTATTTGAATTACTTTATCCGTATTTAACTTACTATTTGCCGATGGAGATTTCCCACAGTAGTTTTATTTAATCGAAGACTCTGAAATGTTCTAGAAATCTAATCTTAGCCCTTTCTCTTGATTTTAATTTTGAGTGACTATAAGCGTCACACTAAGTCGCCTTTCTTATAAATGCTTCAGTTGTTTTAAATATAGTTTTTCATATTTTCACGCTTGTGTATATATATATGTGTGTGTGTGTGTGTGTGCGCAGCTCGCTCGCCTTTTAACCGTTATATATATATATTATGTATATATATATCTGTTAACCGTTTCCATGTGAACGAAAAAATTACCAAATGAATGGTTTAAATACTATATATGTTGCGAGCTTTTTTTTAAACCACGATTATATTGTTTTTTTTACCAGATATGTTACCTGCAGTACGGCAATTTTACCGAAATTTTATTCTCCGTGTAACTTCAGGCTAATTAAAAAATATATAATCTATTGTCTGATTGTCTAATTCCAATCAGTCAGTTGTCAGTCAGTTAGTCTAATTTATTACAGTCAGTTTGTAATAAACACAAAGTATGGAAAACTTATTGCATTGAGACCACATATATTTAAAGTAATTAGAAAATATATCATCCATTGCTAAATTAGCCTGATTTATTTTAGTGAGTTTGTAATTAGCAAAACGTAGGGTAGGCTGATTATAAATAGCTTAATTAACGTTTAATTACATTAGGCCTGAAATTCAGTCAGATTAAAAATATTTTTTTTTAACTATAAATACATTTGGCAATGTGAGTGGTGACTCGGAAGCGCTTGCCTCCCAATGAGGAGACCTCAGTTCAAATCCTGACGATGACTAGTCGTCACGAACTCTGCTTCCGGCTTGCACCGACCATAGTGTTGAAGTAAAATATCCTCAGAGACAAATCGTGGTATGGAGTCACTTTGCCGTCAGGCTAAGAGTAAGAGATTTTCCTCTCCGTGTAAAGGTGGACTATTTCCATTAAAAAGTCCGCCACGAAGACTAGTTAATACAAATGCGTGGTCTGAGAGCTTCATTGTTTTCTGGTTTAGGTTCAAAATTACAAGACTACGAAGTTCAACATTGATAGTGAATCAAAAAATGGGTTGGATTTTCAATACCAGTTATAAAATACATTTCACCGGCAAAAGTATGTTTCATGCATAATAATACCATGTTTGTTTTGTTGCCGATTTCATCACAAATCAACGTGACGTTTCGCTTGTTTCTTGGCATTTATAATTACTAAATTCCATGTGATTTTTAAGATTCCGATATATTTATTACAATATTCAATTTGTTAGTTATAAATCGCTCTCCTAATTTATCACTTTTTATTGTTCTTTGTACCGATTTTTACCGATTTCTTCATAAATCTAAATGATTTTTTAAAGACAGTTATTGCGACGCTGTACCACGTGATTTCGGAAATCCAGAATTTTTATTACGATATTATTACGACACGCGAGTTTCAAATCGCACATTTAAATAATCACTTTTTGACAAGCTTCGCTTTAGCCCATTTTTTCATAAATCCAAGTGACGTTTAGATCGTTTTTCAGCACTTATAACTACTAATTTCCATGTGGTTTATAAATTTCCGATACATTTATTACAACTCGTGAGTCATAAAATCGCGCATTTAATTGATCACTTTTTTGCCGTACTTAATTTGCAGGGCTAAAGAGAATAGAAGGGCCAGTTCACTCCGCTCCTAGAGCTGAAGCTACGATTTCCCTCCTCATGACGTCACTGTGTCCACAGATCTCGGAGATCGCAAGCAAAGATATTAACTTTGCATCTTTCTCTTAGTAAAAATAAGTTAGACTTTTTCTGGTTATTAGCTTTCAAACTTTACGTAATTAACTCATTATTTCCGTTCATAAACATAGTTCAAAAAAACCTTCTTGGCCATTATATTAAAAAAATACCATTTTAAACTTATAAAAATATTTTACTAGTTGACGAAAATGACACTATAAATACTTTACTTTAAAAGTTCAGTTTCAACTTTAATTATTAAGAAAAATGAAAGCATATATCGATACTTTTTTATCTGCATATTCTTTTATAACAATAAGTTGAGTTAAATTTAGAATCCCTGATTTTAAAATATGCCATTAATTTGTTCATCATTAGAAAACATCAACCTTAAACGCTAATTTACTGAAACAAAATAATAATTTAGGCTCATAATGACATTAGAAATTTTACAATTGCTTATAGAT